AGAGAGAGAGAGAGAGAGAGAGAAAAAGAGAGAGAAGATGAATAGCGAGAAGAGAATGGAAGATATCGAACAAGATAAAGAACAGAGCAAATGAGATGCGGAGCAAAAGAGGACGAACGGAGAGAAAGAGAAATTGGAAACGTTGGCATTCGAAAGGTGGTTCGAGATCTCGGAAGTGGAGAAGGGGAGGAGAAAGATCGTCGTTCCGGAGCAGTCGAGGAGGGGAAGCAAAGCGGAGTGAAGTTGAGTCTCGATTCATTCCGCGAAGAGACGAAACGCTACCCTCGTTTGCAAGACAAAGAACCCGACCCGCCGCGCCGTGGTCGTGTGCATAAACGTTATCAACAATATTTACATACTCCGAGGTCTCTAAGGGGGATGAAAAATATCGCGCGCGGGAAGGAGCGAGAACGTGTCGACAAAGCCGTAGAGAAAACTCGTGGAGTTTCGTACTGCGAGAACAACGCGATGAAAATCATGTCTTGAGATAAGTTTGATTTGCAGAAGCAAACGCATCAAGCTCTCCGAGGGATAACGCTACTTTGAAACTTCTCCTCAAGGTCACGCCGGCGTACCGATGGTAGAATCTTCGCGATGATTACAAGTTGACAGAAGGGAGAAAGCATGCTGGGAGAGGGGAAAGGATCGAGGGTAGAGCAGGTAGAAGCGGAGAAGCTGTACAGAAGCAGAGAGGGCGAGTGGAAACCCCCTTGACCCAGCGCTAGAAGGGAGTCGCATGCTCGGCTGATTAGCCTAATGGTGAGTCCTCTTATTCTCGTACTTGACGCCAATTCGCGATTCTCTCTCTCTTTCTCTTTCGCAAAATGCCTGTTTCTCTCTTTTCGGAGAGGTTGTACCGTCCTCTTTACAGCCCCCATTTAAATTTCGACATCGCCGTGACTCTTGACTTGATAAGAAATATTCCTTTATTTAGGAGTATCGACGCTTGCACATCTATCGGCCATTTTTTAACTCGAGAGCAGTCTAATCGAGAATACGCTTGCGATTAACCCAAGGGAGAAAGAGAGAGGATGCAGAACACGGAGACATTTCCATGTTTCTGCATTTTCTGCGTTCGCATTTTTGGGGAGATTTTTAAATGCTTAATACCTGAAGTAGTATCTATATAAATCACTTTATGCACTGTGAATTTGTGTAATTTGCTGTTTCGTCTATCAAATCGCAGTAACAAAGATTAACGTACGTTACACGTTAACGGTCGCAAACGCGGTTTGTGCAAAAGCCGAACTCGCTCGGCGGCAGATTACAATGGTTACGTTAATATTTGCATAGCTCGGTACAATAAAATTATATATAAAACGATTCTCTCTCTCTCTCTCTTTTAGGCGAAGCGTGTCGATTACACGCAAGCGAGACGAAAAGTATTCATCAATTACAATTGAAGAGGAACGTCAATATTTGGCCGGACAATAGCGGATTAACTTCGTGAAAGAATTGTTGATTCAACCGATACGCGTGAAGAGGGAGGGGGGAGGATCAGGATGATACAGAGGTAGTTCAAAGTTTACATCGAAAGTGCATGCGTCAAATGAAGTTTTATTATATTATTAGCGGCTGTATATTTACGTTTCTGCAAATGATAAGTAAACGCGATTGATGTTTAAAGCTGCAATCTGTGCCTATTGGCTTCACATTTTAGTTCCGTGTAAACACTCTATTTTTTTCTTCCTCTCTCTTCTTTTACAACACAAATTAGATAAAAAATTATTCGAATTTTTATTCGATTTATAAATGAAAATTAATATCACAAAGTTGCGATAATTTTATGATAATTAAAAGTCATATCAACGATATTCAATCTAAAAATTCTTAGTCCTAGTATCTTCCAAATAAATAAGTGAAAACTTATCTTATATATCTACGAGAGCAACAACCTACCCTAGTAGATTTTATTAAATTTGTGAAGTACGATAAGAAAATACCGAATCTACCTCCAACGAAAGCCAAATACATCAAATATAAAGCATTTTATTAATTTCTTGCAAAGGCACGTTATCTTTTTAGTAATTTGTATAAAGAATTCAACATAACATTAAATTATAATAAATTATAAGTTATTATATTATAACATAAGAATTATATTAAATTATAAATTATTACGGCACGAGAAATTTAGATTGTCAAACAAATCACAGAAAGCAACAACTAATCATCGCGAGAGAAAAGATTACCGAAAAAATTAGATGAAGATTGAAACTTGTTGCGGTAAAAAAATGTTTCTAGGGATGCGTGAGTGATGATCAACAGTACTTACCGGCCGCGGCAGCCGCTTTGCCAGCGTCCAGCGCCCCGTAGGGTGGTATGCCCATGTGGGCGGGAGGTGGTTGCGTCAGATGGTCTCCGTTAGGGCAAAAGAAGGGCAGCCCGCTCGGATGCGTCCCCGCCAAACCTGCCATCTTGCTCGCCTGTAAAACAACAGAGTAAGCGAATTAATGCACTGAATATACACATATCTTGCCATATATTGGATTTTCTGTTTGTTAAAATATATGTTTTGCAGATTTTTTTCGTAGTCAGCCTCTTTATAAAAACGTCGGATCTCTGTGGAGTCCAACATTTTATAAAAAGCGCAAATTTCTCGTAAAAAGAATCTGTGATATATCTATATTTTGATGAGAGAACAATTAATATATAATTTCACTATAAATTAAAGAGAAAATACTACGGGGTGATTCAGATAATTATCATGTTGCTACATTATGATATATTGTATTATAAAATGCAAAAAAAATATGTGGAATATTTTTAAATTCCTAATACACACACACACACACATCTACTAATGCATTATAAATATAGTAATCTATATAATAAGTATTAATTGGACGATCCTTCTCGCCAGCAATCATTAATCGTTATCCTAATGTTGATAATAATCGCCTGTTTATCCGTTGCTTACGGTACTATGCTGCTTTATCGCGAGTCTGCATATAACGCATGCGTGATATAATATATATGTGTACACGTTTGAGAATTCCTATCACATGACCGTGTTTAGATACCGCGGTAATGTCAACGGCGTGAAAGGCGCAAGGATAACACCGAGGACTTACAGTTCACGACTCTCAAAAGAAACGCGATATCCATCAATTCGATTCGCCTCGAGGGGGAATGCTTATCGAGGACCAGCTCGAGCGTTAATTTGCAAAGACGGGACATGAAGAGAGGAGAAATGTACTCCTCGAGGGTTCGTTCGACCTTTCCGTTCGCGTATCGTCGGATTCGAGTGCCCTTCTCGAGGCATAGCAGTGTAATCCGCCCACTACTTCTTTAACCCTCCGGTCGCTCTTTGTCAAGTGACAGTCGATGAAATTAGTTCAATCTGTTCGCAAACTCGAAGGATTGCGCGTGATTCATCCCTTCTCTCTCGTCTCACTTTTCTATGTTTTTTTCACGCTTTCCCTCTCCCTCTCTCTCTCTCTCTCTCTCTTTTCATTCTTTAGCTCCCACCCCTCGTCTCGTAAACGATCGATATAGAGGCTCTCGAGCGGGTTGTCTCTTATCAGCCGCTTACCATAAGTGCAGCGGTATCGCGCATCGATCTGACCGCCAGCAAGAGTCCTGGATCGAAGGGTTCCCTCTCCATCCAGGTCAGTACCCTCGAGAGTAGTCCGACAGCCTCCTCAGCCGTAGGCTCCTCCTCGTCGTTGTCTTCCTCGACGCCGTCGTTTCCGTCTTCATTTTCATCGCCATTGCGTTCCGACCATTTGTCATCCGCCTCGATCTTCACCCGACATCCTTGCTGCTCTTCGTCCGGCTCCCGCTTCCTGACAAAACGCGCCAAAGCGCTCTCCTCGTCGACGATCCACCTGCCTAGCTCCTCGTCGTCGACTTCCAGTCCAGCCTCCCTTGCAAGATTCTGCAGCTCGACGAGCAGCATCCTGTCTTCCTCCTGATCCACCGCGTGGATTCTGGATGGCAAAATGGCGCCGTTACGTCCCGCTAACGAGTGATCGTCGCGATCTCGCGGCAACGTCCAGCTACGAGCAAAAGTGTCCGACCGAACGCTTAGCCAGGCGCGATGGAGATCCGCGAATGCTTCCTTCAACGTAAACCATTTCAGGTACGCGTCCAACCGATGATCGGCCATTTCCTCGCTCGAACTCGAAAAGACTTTGTCGCGATAAACGCCGCAGCGTGCCTTAGACAGTAACCCGGTGGCTAGTCGCACTCTCAGCTCTCGGATCACCAACCGTGTTTCCATGCAATCCTTGGGCACCACAAACAGCCGCACTAGGCCGTCCGCGGCGACGCAGTCACCCTCCGGTGGCAGGTAATCGGCGCTCTCGGCCACCAGCACGGCGCCATCCGGATGCATCGCCATCGCTGTAACGGCAAACTCGTGATGGAACCACCAGAGAAAGAGATCGACGGTTAAGGAGCCCCTACCGCCACCAGCGTATACCACCGGCTGGCTCAGCATGTTGACCTTGCGTAAGCAACGTGGCCGCCAGTGACGTCCGGCCACCAACAACCGCGTCCGATGATGACCCTCGTGATCCGCCGCCCCCACCACCCACACCCGTTCGCTGCTCCTCGTAGCGTCGCGACCTCCGCCACGCCGTTTACCTGGCAGATCCCGCCAGTCCAGGTAGCAGACATGGGCGAGATAGATCCGACCGCGTTCGTAATTTTCAAGGACATTTCTCAGCCTCTCGAGGGCGGATGAGGACGGATGCGCGGCGCCATGATCGCCGACGTAGCCGCGCGGAGTGGTCGTCGTCCGGCAGGACGCCGAAGACGTGGACACGGGGGAGGGAAACGGTGACGTGGTAGACACGGTGGTCGAGGAGGTAATCGTCGCAATTTCCGTCGCTCCATGAGTCGCCGCTCCGCTGTCGCTGTCCTGCTTTGTTCCCGCGGCGTTCCGCTTCCGCTTTGCGGCCGCTGGTTTGATCGCTAGCGGATCGCTCGTGACCGACGACGAGGTGGAAGAGCGCGTCGGCGACGAGACGCACGACGGCGGTGAGGTGGAGCGGCGCGAGGACGTACAGGAAGATGCGGGCGAGGAAAGCGCCGGTGGCGGCGACGACAACGACGTCGACGAGCACGAGGAGCCGGCAGCGACGGTGGCGGCGTTCTCGGTACACCTCGCCGGTCGATGCTTCCTCCCCGCGGCGACGTGTCTCTCCCGTCGTCGTTGCCTCTCCGGATAACAACGATGCAACGGGGTACCGTTTTCACGGGCTGGCTCGGAGCTGCTCTCCAGGGACTGGCGCATGCGCCCGGACCACTGCGATCGACCCTCGTCGTTGCACGCCGTCGTGTGCACCGCGGGCTTGTCCATTCTCGTCGCTGCGACTGCCGTTTCGTTTGACGTCATCGTCGTCGTCGACGTCGCTGTCGCGATTGTTGTCACCAGTGCCATTGTCGTCGTCGTCATTGTTTCTTCACCTTCCACAAGACCCACGGAAACATGCTGGCCGCGCGCTTGACGCCCCTTGGTGGCCGCCACCTTGCTGACACGCGCGCACTTGCCACCGCGAGGCGACATCTTCTAATCGCGTTGCCCTTTGCGATCACCTCAAAGTCACACGGACACGTAAACACGTTGGCGAACGACACCAGAAATCCGATCGCCGTTCTTTCTCGTCGCAAAATCCAGATCACCCGTATTTATCGAACGGCAAAGATTCCGCGGCAGATCCCGAGGAGCCCGCGCTCCTCGTGCGAGCGCGCGCGCGCGAGCCGCTCATCTACGGCGCGCCGGCATCGCCTACAACCGAGCGATGACTGAGCGAGCGGCCGCGACGCGATCGTCAAAGGCCGGAGCGGGAACTAGAAGGCTTTGATGTACCGCCGCCCCGGCGCGCACAAAGCGAAAGCGGCCCCGGCTCGTTGGCTGGCACGGTATGCGCGGGGAAGGACGGGGGAGGCGTTGGGGGCGCGGGGGTGGTTGAAGCGAGAGAACGCGAGGCGGCGAGCGCGAGCGGCGAAGGAAGGGGGGCACGATGAGACGAGAGACATGTACAGTCACCTCCTCGTTCGAGCGTCCACGCGTGTCTGCCTGCCTGCCTGCCTGTCTGTCTGTTTCATCACGAGACATTCGCGTGACAGTCGCAACGCGCCCAAGGACTGTACCGCCTGACGACAGATAAGGATTTCCGTCTGCTCAAGCCTCGTCGCACGCAAATTTCCACGAGAGGACAGGAGGGGGCCGACGTGTCGACGAAATATCTTGCGGAAATTCCAAACGCTTATCTCTTCCACTAATTTTAAAAGCTCGCACGGTTTACATTTCTAATCCTCCGCTACATCTACGTGCGATACTACAC